AACACAAATCGACTGCAGAGTGGAAGATCGACCTATCTCGGCAGCCAGTTCGAAAACGCCTGTCAGGTTATATATTAAATTCAATTAAAAAATAAATTTTCATTACATTGCTTTCATGAAACTGGCTGTTAAGGTATTTCGGCAGGTGGTGATTTGAGATTTACCACTGCACACTTCAGCCCTGGTTTCTTGGAATGAAGCTTTAACGCATAATAATATTGGCAAATAACATCCACTGGCCAATCGTAACACACGAGAGTTCGATATACTCAATGGTGCAACAGGTCGATTTAGTCTGGCATTTACGGCACCTTTTCTCACCTGTCGATTTTTAGTAATAACTCGACCTCAGCACAACCTGGCAGCTCTTTTTTTGCAACTGGACTGCCTTTACCGTTTCCAGTACATGTTTTGAATATTCGCCAATTCGGATCATAAAAAAGATTTTTAGTAAAAGGTTAACTCCAGCGCAACTGGCGGATTAAATTGTGAAACTAAACTATCCAGAGACCCACTCAAGCAAACACAGAAAACTTTGTTAAAATCCCTCCAGTACGTTTGTACTTTGTCATGCCCTCTTTTCCGATAGCTCTAATTTGTATAGCTCCAAGAGTATGCGATGGATTTAATATATCTCCGTACGAGGTTCCAGTACTGTACCATGAACACTTCCAGAGATATGGAGTATGAAAAATTCGGTGCGTATGGGAGGTTCCGCGTCCATTTTATATATCGAAATTTTTGTTAGTCGATAGCATCAGGTACTTGGTCTTTATGGCGAAATCGGGGAAAAGTGGTACTTTTAAAAAACTAATTTTTTTTAAGTTTTTTTTTACCTAGAAATCTATATCTAAAGTTACGAGTTTAGAAATAGTTGGGAACTATAAAAAAAAGGGATGCAGAAAGAACTAGATCTTATCTGTCGAATTTAGAACTAGTTCGGAACTATCGAATAAGGGATGCAGCGGGGCTTGTTTACTTTACATAGATATGTGTTCGGCGGCTTTTTCGTTCCAATAAGCTTATATTATGTGCTTCGCAGATGCGTATTCATAGCTTGGTAATACAAAACAAAAATTTGTGTTAACATTTCAACATCTTGGGACCGTCTGGAATCCAGGAAATAACAGCGAGCACCTCTGCAAACTCAGCTAAGGCTAAAGGTATGTAAACGTACATTTCTTAAAATCATTCAAACAAATTTAATTTCAAATTGAAAACACATTTCTTCAAAAATAACTTAAAATCGCACACACGGAAGAACCAAAAAGATCGGAAATTCATGATATTTTTTTCTTTCGTCTGTCGATTTTAGAACTGGTTTGGAACTATAAAATTTAGGACTAGTTCGGAACTATCGAGAAAGGGATGCAGCGGGGGGCAATTGACACTTCCTAGGACATCGCAATGTTAAATTCGCAAGTTGCTTGCATGCAAAAGAGATTTATCGCGAACCAGTACTGGGTCTAAATGTACTAGAAGCGCACCAGTTCAGAACAAGAGATTTTCCCCACAGGGTAAATATGCATATACAAATGTAAGTACTAACAGTAATGTTAGTTGCTCCTTGTGGCTACATAAACGACTCTACATACGTAATTGCCTACATTATTTCTCCATGAACTGTACATACATATTTGTTTTTTTTTAACATAAGAATCAACACTAAAATTAACATTAGCACGTATGTACATATATGTACATATAACCCTAGCTTTGCGCTGTATTCCGTACGAAATAACAGCAGAGGGCGCTCTCAGTGCTGATCAGCGCTGTTATGTGGGCATGTATGTTAAATTCATAGGATTTTTAAAGGCCTGTAGTTCCATTTTTAGGGAAGTATTTAAACTTTTTTTTGCCTAAGACAATGAGAAGCCTATCCAGAACATATAACCGAAATTTCAAAAAAATCGGTACATCCAAACTCGAGCTTTGCGAACAGAAAAAAACGGCTTTCAAAATATATATTAATATAGATTAATAATAAATTTTACTGTTCTATATTGGTGGGGGTGTAAGACTCGGCTTACGCCACAGGATTTTTGCGCAAAATACCTTTCTGCGTTGTAAGCCTTCGGCCGCGCATAGAAAAAATAACCCTCATCAGTCAAACTCCGGCTACGCGGACCCCAGTATCTTTTACAAATAAGTCCATATTTCAAACCGAATTTATTAATAAATTTTTATCCGAAAGTTTCAAATCCTTATTTAAAACTAGCGTTTAATCGTTTGTCCACACGCGTAAGGTAAAAATTATTGATTCGGGTTACGCGTTTGGAAACAATAACGCAATAATTATTGTACAAATAACCGAACCGTACCCAACCAAATACCTTTTGCTTGTTCACATTTCGATTCTAAGAACAAAATGTTTTTAAGAGCGTGTGTGAATCGGTAACAAAGTTCGCGTCAAAAAGTATTTCATTTCACACAGCAGATTGGCAATAAACAAAAAGTTAATAATAAAATAAAAGGATTTTAGATATTGGGTATTGTAGCACAAAATGTCAATCTGCTTAATTGTCAGGTTGTTAATATGGCGACGAAAAAGTGACAATGGAACTATCTTCTTTTTTGTATCATGGGCGTGTGTGAATCGGTAACAAAGTTCTATGGGGAAAGCTGATGAATAATATTTTTGATATCGTGAGACTGTTTTGACAATCTGCTGTGTGAAATTATTAAAATATTACAAATTGAAGTGAAATTATTATTTAAAAAAAAACATCTACCATCGTTGATTGCAATTCAATTTTAATTTAAGATTTAACGAAAAATTATACACATCAACAATCTTTGCGATTGTCAAAATTTTCTATGCATTTGTCGAAAATTTCACTAGCCTCATGCGCTACTGAAATTTTATTCACCTCATAGTTGTCAAAAACTTACTCGCCGCGAACTTTGCTACCGATTAACACACGCTCCATATATGAAAATATGATATTGAAAATAAATTTATTCTCTGAATATTTGAACGGCTTCGTCATTGAAAAGCTCGTCGGATCACAGAATTGGTCTACTTGGAGTTTTGCTATCAAGACGCAGTTTGAGTTGGATGAACTTTGGTCCTGCGTTGAGGGATCTGAAGCAAACCCTGAGGAGCGCCAGGCGCAGTGCAGATTGATTCTTGCTGTACATAAGGATTTGTATGCTTACGTGCAGGAGGCACAAACAGCAAAAGAGGTCTTTGAAAACTTGCGGTCTTTGTTTCAAGACTCTGGGCTGGATAGACGCATAGGTCTATTAAGAAAGTTATGCTTCTTGCCACTAACTGATTGCAACTCTGTCGAGCACTACGTATCCGAAATGGTTTCAACCAAGGCATATTAAATAAGGTAGACGTGATTTTGACATTTCTCTCTTTTGAACACCGACTATAATGTCAAATGATGAATATCTTTTAACCCTTTTCAAGTTGGCATTTTCTATTTTTCGTTAAAACTTCTATTGCATGCTGTGAGATAGTTTTGAAGTGTGTGATTTTTTTTTGTTTTTCGACCACATCCTTTTATAGATACACTAGCCAATGCCCGCTTGCTTCGCGGCGCCTAATAATAACTTTTGCGTGGGCCAATGCAAAAATTGCGTTTAAAAGAAAAAACGGTCAGTAAAGTAAAAAAATTAAAACGACTAAAGATCAGAATCCTCCTCATACATAGCCCAAAAATAGTAGCGCTTTGATGCCATATCGATGGCTGAGTGGAAGATCGACCTATCTCGACAGCCAGTTCGAAAACGCCCTATCTCAGAAAATTTTTCAACAACGCTCTATTTCATAAAACTTTTCAAGAACGTCCTACTTCAGAATTTGAATGAAAAAACACCCTATCTTAGCTGCCGATTCAAAAACGCCCTATCTCAGCTTATTTTCAGTGTATTTTCGTTTGAGATAGGGCGTTTTTGAACCGAATTATGAAACCGTTATTCAACCAAATTCTGAGATAGGGTGTTTTTCAATAAAATTCTGAAGTAGGGCGTTTTTGAAAAGTTTTCTGAGATAGGGCGTTGTCGAACTGGCTGCCGAGATAGGTCGATCTTCCACTCAGCCATCGATATGGAATACTAATCACTTTCGATGTCATGAGCTTTGCGGGTGGTCTTATTTCCACCTGTGAAATCTGTGCCAAGCGTGCATAATCTTCTTTGATCTTGCAACTAGAACATTAGTCCGTTTCGTAAGCCAATAAAAGTCCTTATAACGAAACCTAAGACCACAGGTGAGCATTTTATGTTAGAGGAGGGCCAAGAATCCTCGTTGCCCCCAAGGATGAAAAGTTTTCCCATACATTGGCTAAATGAGTCGTGTGCTCTCTTGAATATCGTCCAAATGAAGCCATTGATATACCAACCGTGATGCTTGCCTATCTATGTATATGTATACATATAACTACCAATTTTAGCCGTAGCATGCTGTCTCCATTAGCGATTGTTCATCTGCTGCGAAAGATCACCGGCGATGAATCGCTTGTGAACAACTCAGCTAAGTAGCACACTGGTGTATAACTTGGTGTATATTTATGAATTTTGGTACATATGTGTTAAGATTAAAAAAAAATAATATTTTGGTGTATTTGTCATCCCGCCAGTACTTCTTCTCAAATCGAAATTCTGCCTTTAACGTTTTGGTACTATTGATTCATTGAGACTAGTACGAAAACTGCACCAGCTCCTAAAATGCACCACTCTTTTTATTTGGTTCACAAATTACTCAACGTTGACAAATGTCATTAAGCATACGGCGATATGCCGATTTTAATACCAGTCCCTTCTCATCTCGCCATTTAAATATTTATTCCGCAGCCATTGAAATGGAGATACTGAAGGAATATTCCGCAGATGATATAAAATGTAAACTTGTTTGTTTACATCCATATGATCCGGAATGTAGGCAGAATAACCAGTTTTTTAATGCTAAAAAAGGCGTATTCTTTCCTTTAATTCACACTTTGTAACCCCGTATACATTTTATTCCTTCATTCAAATAAAAAAGACAGCACTTAAGTTAAAAACATTCATTTTATTATCTCCGTTTTTATACATACATATGTATTTTGTTAGACACTGAACTGTATCTATTTTAATGGAAAATTCTTAATGATAAATACATAAATAAACAGGGTAGGGTTTAGTATACATGTCGTCATTTTAAGTACAAAACCAAAGAATGAAAACAAACAAAGAAGACGAAAAATGCGTGGAGGTTGAGTGCGATTATATTGGCATTTATCATCAAATATAATAACTGAAACTGAATAAAAATGAAAGTGTTTTGCAACCACGTAGCATCAGCACAGTTCGATTTTTTCTGACCACAAAAGTGCACCCACTTTCCACGCAAATTTACGCCTCTTTGCAACCCAAACCAACGCACAAACTTGTTCAAATCACAAAGCACTTCATTTATATCATATATTCGTAATAAATCAAAATTTATAGTTTAAATCGCTGCAGAAAACACATCAAGTCGCTAAAAAATCACTATGAAGAGGTTGAAGACGATGTCAACAAAACCAAAAAACATCAAAAACGCTACGAAAACTTTTTCCCGAAAATCGCCACGTATGCTGCTGACTCTGCCTATAAGCTGGATATCTGAAAAATAAGAAAAAATAGCAATTATCTCTTGATAATATAATAAGAATGTTTGTTTACAAAATTACCTCTTTCCGCAATTCCTGATAATTTCTGTGGGCAATTGACAATTGTCCAAAGAATTCACCAAAAAATGAATATTGAATACACCACACAGGAGCTTTGTTTCTTTACAGATATTTATCACTAGCAAGGCGAATTTGCACAAGATAATGTTATACCATGTTCGGACCGACAACGAAAATACTTTGAAAACGAGTTTTGGGATTGTGTGCTGTAAGCTGTTCGCACCGGCTGTTAGAGTTTTCGTTGACAATTCTTTCATCCTTTGTTTACAGTTTCGCTAAGAAAAAACAAAACCAAAATATTTTTCTTTCATTTTCTTATTATTAGGAACCTTTATCGTTTATTTATATTTTAATTTGGCCAGCCAATTGGCAATAAATCCCAACTAGCATATTAGAGATGATAAAATATGACTTACACTTTGATAAATATATCTAAAAAACAAGTGAAGACACCGATTGGAATGGGTGGAACGTGAGTTTTCAAGTAGTTTTCAGTGAAAACTGGTTTTCGTTTGACAGATTTTACAAGGTTTTAGGTCGAAAACCAGTCTTAGCAACGAAAACAAGTTTTCGATGGCGGTCTGAACATGGTATTAGCCGTAAAGAATAATAGAATAAATTTATCGTGTAAAAATAAACAAAGCCGAAGGGAAGGATAAAAGAAAATGTCAGAAGAGTCAATTATATTAATACTTAATTTTTCTATAGGAAATGTGTTTTAATTGCTTTAAATTGTGAAAATATGATTTGTAATAATTAATAAAGAAAATCTGGAAACTGTGGAAAAGTGTGATTTTAGTGAAAATAGTCGTGAATTTCAGGCATAAGTGCAGAATACGGCCCGTTAAGCTAGCAAGAAACGAAGAAGTGGACGTTGTTCACCCTTTTTTTCTAATTCTAATGGTATACAATTTTTTTGGTGCAAACTTATACTGCAGGTGCTATGGAGTGGGAAAGGGGGAATTTTCTTTTTATTTGATTTTTGTAAACAGAATAAAAATTATAACCACATAACCTGATAACTAGGCAAGTGAGAACAACCACTAAATTTTCAGCCTAATCATGTATCTCGAAGCTAACGTTCGTTTCGTCTGCCAGACGTTTCTTTCGTGTGTTGGTAGTATGTAAGTCGAAATCGTCTGGCAGCACGAAAACAGCTGATCGTTACGTAGTTTTCGTCTAGTTTGGAATTTTTTAAGGCGAATAGAAGACGAAAGTGAGACGACAATCGTTGAAAACAGACGAAAGGTTATTAGTGATCGTTAAGATGGAGGGTTCTGCCAGGAAAAGTAAGAAAATAAAAAATATAACTTGGTTTAAGGAAATATATTAATATTTATGCTTGCAGCGCGAAAAAAACTACAACCACTCAATTTGAAGTACTGGTAAAAGAAATGGAGAGAAATCCTGACCTGGCCAGATGTGTTGCAGTATTTGGATCTGATCGAGGAAGGGTAGAGGAGCGGTGGGAAGAAATTATGAGGAAAATTAATTCTCATGGTCCTCCTACAAGAACGGCCGTCGAATGGAAGAAAGTAAGCATAAGTGCATACATTGTATGTGGTAGATAAATGCTTGCGCACTATTTCCATTTTACTGACATTGATTTTTATTTTATTTTTATTTTTCAAGATATGGGCTGACTTGAAAAGCCGAAAACAAACGAAGCCTTACTGCTACCGGTGGTGGCCCATTCCGTCACTCTCCGCTTTCCGAAATGGAGCAGGCCATAGACAGCCTGGTTTTTATTTCGAGGTCAGCAGCCCCGAGCGGCAGAGTTTTCGGCATTCCTTCGACGGCGACCTCTAACATGTCAAGACATTCGTCGTTGGAGGAAATGCCTCCTTTACTTGTGACTGAATCGCCAACACTTGACCAACGAAGGCAACAAACAACCACCCTTCAATCTCCTATAAGGCACAACCAACTAATAGGAAGCGCACCTTCCAAGAGACAGTGGCTGAATCTGCTAAAGTCCAAGCAGAAGCCGCTAAAGTGCAGGCTGAGGCTGCAAAAAAAATGGCAGAGGTATCAATGCTGCAGGTGGATGCCACAAACAAATTAACTGCTGCAGTGGAACGCCAATCTGAAATTTTTGAAAAATTTTTGGAGTACTTCCGGAATTAATTTTCATACCACTATTGCGAGAGTATTGAAGTGATATTTTGTTTTTTTTTTTGTGTAAATATTTTTTAGATTTAAGTGTGAATTGATATTTTGTTGCATTTACTTAGTTTATATGTAGATTTAGGATTTAAGACTGAAAAGATATTTTGTTGAATTTTTATGTAAATATTTTATTAATTTTAAGACAAATGAATTTTGCTGGTGAACATGAATTCTAAACACACATACTTTATAATAAAACTGCGTTTATAACAAACTCTCTACTATTCTCATTCTAATAAGGGCAGCTGCATTCGAAATGTTACTGTTTTCCAGTTCTTCTTCGTAACTAACAAGATTCTCCATATCTGGGCTCTCCAATGGAATTTGATGTTTGAAAAATATACAAACGTTATGAATAGCACAGCACACATTTACAATTTGTGTAACTTTTTCTGGTGAATAGTGTAGCCCTCTCGAGCCAATTATACATCGAAATCGGTTTTTCAAAACACCGAAACATCTCTCAATTACATTACGAGCTTTCGAGTGCTTTGTGTTGTAATTTCGTTGAATTTCATCGGCTGCGCTTCTGAATGGCGTCACCAAGTATGGCTGCAAGGGGTAACCAGAATCACCTACAAAAATTTTCATTGTCAGTAATACTTTTATAGCCTTTTTAAGTTTTAAAACTTACCGAGTAGCCATGTGTTGGTTTTTCCATTGTTATAATCAGATTTTAGCTCCTGTTCTGCGTGACTCACATTCCAAACAAATGAATCATGATTCGCCCCTGGATGCCTAGCGTCTGTAGGGAAACTCATCTGTAAGGAAACTCAGTTTGTGTGTATGTATACTTGTAAAGATAGTAAATCATTAACCTACCGCCATTACATTAAGACTGTAAAAACCCTTGCGGTTGAGGTATAAATGGTGGTTGTCACTTCCTGGCGACTTAATACGAACGTGTGTTCCATTAACACAAGCAATAACCCCAGGTAAAGAAATATTCTTTAACTGCATTTTCCTCATCGATGTTTCTCCTAAAATTCACCCATTTCTGGCAAAAATGGCCCTCAAAAATATTTAGGCATTCCCTGATCACGTTGGCTGCAGTTGACTGCCCCATCGACGAAATATTTTCGTTACCAACAGATTTTTGGTAACTGCCGGTGGCGAGAAATATTAAAAAAGTCGCGAGTTTTAGCTGGTGCGATAGGTGGGTGCTTCTATGTGATGGAGCCATGTGCTCTTTTAATTCGTTTAATATGTATTGGAATATTTCTTTATTGATTCGGATTTTTGCAACAAATCTAGAAACGAATTCATTGTAGCATACAAAAATTATTTGCTAATCTTGAACTTACTCAGTCTCAGGTAGTTCCATTACATTGGTGTGGTCTCGCAATCTCCTCCTCTGTATCCGCCTTTCCCTTTCTTCGGATTCCTCGGCGTCCATTAGCGCTATAGCAGCATACATTTTTAAAAATCAATTTTCCTTATATTTCTTTCCGCAACACAACCAAAACACTTTTAAGGAAAACCAAAATGTAAACAATTCCGATGTTGCCCATTTAAAATAAAAAGCATTGAAATAAGCTGAAAATATTAGAAATCTAAGAAAAACTCTTTGGAAGTACATCAAACTTTCATCCGGCAACATCATACAACGTAACCGAGACGATTGCAACGTAATCGGCGTAAAGACAAGACGAAGACGAACGACAGAGTTACAAAATTGCAATCCGTGACGATATCGCCTATCGTGCGGCCTATCGTTCGAGATACATAATAAGGCTGTTTGTAATTTTTCCCGTTCGTCTTCCTGATACTGATCTGCTACAAAAGTAAAGAAACAAAGCTAGTGTGTGTGTACTTAATACACCACCAGTTTGAATATGAGCCAGTGTTGCCATGGACAAATTTTGTTTCCTACCAAAACTTCCTACCAAACTCAACCAAAACCTACCAAAATTGTATATAAGTTTTCAATATATTTTTAATGCCAACATAACATTTAGAAAAACCAAAATACAGCTAGTAAAATAAAAACTAATTAACTACGTATAGACATTCACCTACCAAAATCCAATATAGCCTACCAACCTACTAAAAAGAAAACTAGAAAAAACCTACCAGTTTTGGTAAAAAAAGCCCATATTTGGCAACACTGATATGAGCTATTAAACATTCCACAAGTAGTGTTGCCATCAGCCTTACCATTTTGGTCAAATTGGTAGTTTTATTTTCCTTCGGTAGACAAAATTGTTTAGGGGTCTTCTGTATTGACTGAGTTCAGACACGGAACTGGTTACTTGTAGGATTGCATTGTACTGTTGTAGCGTAGTGTTCGTTTGTAAAAATGAAAAAAAAAAATTTTCGATTAGCGATTATAAAAAGTTGCTGATGTTGAAAAGCTCTAATGTATACTAAATGCTATATGCAGCTATTGTATTTTCTTTTTTCTTTTCCGACATAAGATAATTGATATAAATTGAATTAACCGCAAAGATTAAATTTTTACATAAAGCAAATATGAAACGAAATAAAATATCATGTTCGGATGATACAAAAATTGGTTGTTTGGAAACTGATTTGGTAGGATTTTTGGAACGTAAAAATAACTGCAGTGGCAACAATTGAATGGTGTAAATTGTGAATATTTCTAAGTCTAAGGAAAAATAAATATACCGTTCTTTTGGCTTGGTAAATATTTTGTACCTAACTCAAGAATCAGTGTAAGTTTTTGACGACGACCATATTTTTAAAGTACAACCTAGAGTAATGGCGTTACGCGATGCGATGGATATCGCTCGATCAAAATTAGGCGTGTATTATTTGACGAGAAATTTAAGCTATTAGCTTATTTTGTATGTATGGCTTTAAATATGAGAAAAGCTATTCACTTTACAAAAGGCATATTTTTCATTTGCTTTCACAGCGATAAACACGAACGACTGTGTACATAAATGATGGCTAGTAGCGATTTTTATGTATTCTCGTTACGCTAATACGCTAGGTTGTAAACTTAGCCTAATCCTGAAACTCGGCTGGCCGCCATATTAACCCTCTAGTAGGCATAACCGCCTCCAGACGGTCGTTAACTAAACACCTTTTTAGTTCACCTATAATAATTTTTTTCTATATTCGTAAGGCACGATCTTTAGGCAAAAATCGTACCCTTACGGCGAAGTAAATTTTAATCCGTTATGTCAATCCGTTTTATTTTAATCGGCAGTTGAATTACAGATTTTGAAAACACGGTGAAAATTAATTATTTCTTGCTATTTAGTAATTTCGTAATTAAAGAATTTTTTTCTTTTGAAAAATTTTTCGATATAAAAAAATTCGGTGGATTTCGTTGATAAAAGCACCGTATTTTGATATAAGTTTTATAATTATGTCACCATTCGAAATGGAGAAAATTGCTTTCGAACACAGACCGTCTACAGACCGGCTTGCTGACATATAAAACCCCAGTTTTGCATTTTTGACCGTCTGCAGACGGCATTGCCGGTTCGTAGGTCAACATTGTGTAAGAGAAAGCTGAAAATATGTGTAAGTATATCGGTGAGCCCGTCTCCAGACGGTCTTGGTTTTACTGCCCTGTAGGAAAAAGTTACTGTCACATATCGAAATCGACATCAGTTTTGGATTTCTCGTGCTAAAATCACCCATTCCTGAATTTTTCAACTCATAAAAAAATTGGCCTACTAGAGGGTTAAAGCTGTATGACTACTATTTAGCTAATTTAACAATTTCATTATGTACATTGGCTCAACTATGCCACTTTATGGATATTTTCGACCCTGTTTTAAACAGCGCATCTCTTAGAAAATTAAAAATGGTTAAAAAATCACTACTTTCAAAATATAACTTTTTCCAGATTTATTTAAAATCTTCAAATCCTCATAAATTTTGAGGCGCTCGATTTTTAGAGGGGGTAGGACCGAAATTCACTCGACAGAATGTACCTCGTTTTTAAATTAGGAACTCACATTCATATATATTCACGATTTTCATGTCTGCATATTATGAATACTGAGATTTATAAAAATAATTCTAAGTTGTGCAGATTAAAAAAGAGCTTCGGTGTAAATTTTATGTCTGAGTTAATTTTAAATTTGATTATTAGTAAATTTTATTCCTCGAATCATTTCGTACTCTTCACACTCATGGGAATATATTTATGCTAGAATATGATGTAAATGATTTACCATTATGGTGTATGATTTGAGCCAATTATGAGTACGTATTTTACACCAACGGAGTTTATTTTATGTTCTAGAAACAAGAAAACTTGTATACCACTGGCATAATATATATACCGAAAATCAGTAAAAAAAAATTACGGTAGGTGTAAATAATACACGAAAAAGCGGTGTAACCTTTACACTGAATCGAAATAAACTGTTCAAAAACTGCGCCTAGAAATGGCATATTTTTTATATTGAAAATGTATATCACGCCGATGCAAAAAATACACAAAATATTTTGGTGCATTTTTGACTTTTGTGCTACTTGAGAGTGTGATGATATGTATTTGCATAAAAATTTATTAAAGCAAAAATGTTTTGGGTAGGCGTCGGAGCCAATGATAACCATCAGTTACCACCTCTGCATGGTTGTAAGTCATGCAGAGTCCCTGCGGCTTGTAGCGCTGTGGCTTTGCCGCTTAAACTCTGTAAGAGTTTTTGGGGGTGTGCGTCAAGCGGGAGTGTTGAGCACTGGTTATTGATTCAAGTTTAAAAAATTGGGTAAGCGCTGTGGCCAATGGTAGCTCTTGTACCACCTCTGTATGCTGAAAGTCATACTGAGCCCCAACAGCTTGTAGCGCTTTGGCTTTTGCTGTTTAAAACCACTCCGGAGGAGTGGTGATGCATCAAGCGAGATTGTTGAGCATGATTTGGGGTGCGAGCAATTAACTACTTTAGCAGGTTTTGTTCTGCAGCAGTTGAGAAGTGCATAAAAAATTGCATACCCAATGAAGAACGAGCGAATTATTTTTACACACAAGTGCGTGTGTTTATTCGCTGCACTTAGTTTTGGACGGGAGTGCAATACAAGTGCGTGTGTTTGTTCGCTGTTCTTTGTTTATGCGGGAAATGCATAAGTTGCTTAAACAGCTTGTGTAGGCCGCTCATCGCAAGGATGATGTTAAATCATTAGTTTCGCAGCTTGTTTTACCTTAAAATTTTGATGAAGTTGTGTTTTTCTATAACAACGTGCAACAAAAACAAAAAATTTCAAAACACACGAAAGAATCGATATACTCACGAAACTATGGGCCAAATATAATAAAACTGCCTTTTTAGTTTTTCACTCTGACGTCGAGACTTTTTTTCAGAGGACTCTGAAATTTTAAAGATATGATTGATTTAAAAAATTATTTAAAACAATCAAGACGAAATTCGATGATGAGGTCGTGCGTATATAAGTCCTCAAACAATAATTTAAAAAAAAAACAAACAATTGTGCAAATTTTTTCTAATATATGATACCTTTATTGTTATCCTACATTGCACGGACTTTTTAAATATTTTTTTTAAATAATCATATTTTTTAAAGTCCTCTTATAAAAGTCCTTTTAAAAAAATCCTCATGTCAGAGAGAAAAACTAAGTACGCAGTTTTACTATAATTTACCCATAGTTTCACGGAAATATACTTTTTTTTGTGTGTAAAATTTACTGTCGCACGGTGTAATATGTATATATGCTCAAAACAACGGCTTACTCCACCATTTTTGAGAATACAGTAGTTTTCGTAAGCACTTTTTGAAATGAAATCTTCTGCGATGACATGCCCAAGTAGCAAAATTCCTCTGCGGTGAGCATTTCACTTGCGATGAAACCGACAGATCTGCGGTGGTTGTATGCAAATGGAGAGAGCATGTAAGTTAGTACGTTATTGATAACATATGTATGTAGCTGTATAAAATTTCAGGACGTTAGCTTAAGCAGTTCCAGGGACAAGCGTTATGAAAAGTTCAGTTTGTATAGGAGGTGCCACGACCCCTTTTCCAATATCTGCCACTTTTCGCCATAAGTACGGATAACTTATGTAGCTGTGTCAAATTTCAGGACGTTGGCGTAAGCGGTTCCAGAGATAAGGGATAAGAGATGCTCAGTTTGTATGGGACGTGCCACGCCCCCTTTTCCAATAGCTCCCAGTTTTCGACATAAGTAGGGTATTTAGAATTTATGCATCTGTGCCAAGTTTCAGTTCCTCAGCGTAGTTGGTTTAAGAGATATTTTGGTGCCCTAAAAAAAGGGGTTTCAACATTTTATTATGGCGTGTGTATATGTGTAGATATCCATCATTCTCCCACTGTATAAGAACGTTAGGAATATCCCGTCTCCCATCGTATAATTTTTTAGTGCAAATATTCCTTTTCAATTGGCTAACAAATGGTCCAAATATGAGCCAAATCTGCAACTAAATGCAGTTTTTAGGAATATCCGGGCGCCAGCGCCACCTAGCGATTAAATTTTTAGTCGGAATATTTCCCTTCAAGGTGCTAACATATGTTCCAAATATGAAGGAAATCGGTTGTTGTTGCAACGAAAGTGTTTTCAGTAAAAATGGCAGCCCTAGGAAGCGTGCAGCCTATTGGGTCGGTCCACAGGGACACAGCCGTTAGGCTTTTCCAGGCATGCGAAGAGATGTTTCGAGTCATGAGGGGTCTCTCCGCATGACACTCATTTGGCACATCCGCGTACAGTCTGCTCAGGTATGAGTTTAACCTGCTGCAGTAGCCAGAGCGAAGTTGGGCTATTGTTGTTCTGTTATCCCGAGGCAGATGTGTCCGGTGTTTATGTGCCTAGAACGCCATTCACAGGTCTTGAGTCTACATAACTCGAGACTGCGTCCCTGTGAATGCCGTGCAGGGCCTGTCTGTGAGATGACGGGTCCAGAGGTTGCTTAATGAACCTTTGGACTTCGGCCGTCAGTTCATATAGATGCCTCCTGACGTGCCTCGGCGAGGGCTCCTCTGCAAGCAGCTGTCTATTTGGGTGGCTCCCAACAAGAAACTGCTTGCAGAGCATCGCAGGGTCGCAGAGGATTTCGTAGGGGAGAGGGCTAGACACTTTGCAGTGAAGAAGCGAGAAAGTTCAGAGAGATATCCGTTTACTTTCGAACACAGGTCATCGATTCCATTCCCAGTCGTCACGATCGAGCAATCGTCGGCGTAAGAGACAATCGAGACTCCCTCTGGTGGTTGAGGGAGCTTTGAAATGTAAAAGTTAAACAGTAGTGGGGAAAGGACGCCACCCTGTGGAACCCCCTGTTTTATTTTCCTAAGTTTGCTCGATTTGTCTCTAAACACTACCGACGAGTGTCGACCACTTAGATAATTTGCCGACCAC